TGCACATGTACCCTAGAACTTAAAGTATAATAATAATAATAAATAAATTAAAAAAAAAACAATAATTCATTTTCACTCTGATTTGTCTTAACAGATCTGTTGATTCTTGTACATCACTTGCTCTCCCCTGACAATGGCTGTAACGATGGCATAAGTATGGAAAAGGAAAAACGTATACTGACATGGTTTGGCTGTGTTCTCACCAAAATCTCAACTTGAATTGTATCTCCCAGAATTCCCAAATGTTGTGGAAAGGACTGAGGGGGAGGTAACTGAATCATGGAGGCCAGTTTTCCCCTTAATCGCTATTCTGATAGTGAGTAAGTCTCATGAGATCTGATGGGTTTATCAAGGGTTTCTGTTTTGCTTCTTCCTCAGTTTTCTCTTGCTGCTGCCATGTAAGAAGTGCCTTTTAACTCCCACCATGATTCTGAGGCCTCCCCAGCCATGTGAAACTGTAAGTCCAATTAAATCTCTTTTTCTTCCCAGTCTCAAGTATGTCTTTATCAGCAGCATGAAAACGGACTAATACATATACCAAAAGATGAATCAAAAAATTTGTCCCCCAATTATCACCCCAATTTGACAAATACTAACTATAAGAATCTCTACTATATACTATTAATGCAACAACTATGAAGTTTAAATATCTTATTCCAGAATATCCTCAATCGGAGTGTTGCAGTACTATAACACTGATATTCCTCTCTAGCCATACCTTTGCTTTAATATAAAATAAGAATTAATAGAGCTATTTACCTTTATTAGATCCTGCTATTGTAGATCTATCTGAAAGTTTAGAATGGGAAATCCGTGTTTCAGATTTTCTTTGCATAGTCATTTGATTTCCAAACCTCTTGGGTTCTAAGTAAAAGACTGTAAATTTCTGCTGAACATCAAGCCCAACTGGAAAATGAAAAAAAGTATACAAATGCTTATTTAATTCATCTAAATCCACATATGAGAACACATTTCTTTTTATCTCTCTTATATTTTTATAACTTCTAGAGCTAAGAAGTCCACAAAGTTAAAATATGTTGAAAGGTTAAAAAATATGACAACTAAAAAATTATATATTGATCATTATAAAAATAAAAATCTTCCAACAATAACCGCAATTTAACTATCTAGGAAAATAAAATATCTATAAATGAAAAGATAAACTTTTAATTATGGCATCTTGGTCCATGATATCTTTTACATACCTAAATACATGAAACTTCCTTTAAAGTTTATTCACATTATCTAAATATATTATTTTTGCATTATACCATTTATACTGTTTTTCTGTACCAGTATACAGGATGTAATTTTTAAATGCAATTATGTTATTTATATTCATGTCTTCATTACTTCAATTAACTTACCAAATTCAGAACTTATTAGATTTATGCTAAGATCTTCAGATTTAAGAGCTCTCTTCACAGCAATCTTTTTAGCCCAATTTCCAGCTTTTAGCAAAACAGAATCCCTAAAAAATAGTATAGTTTAAATAGTGATCTGCACCCTGAATGAAATACGTATTAATTGTCAAGGGCTGATTGTTCTTAAGAAAGATACTCTCTAGTAGTAAACTGAAATCAATTACTGAAAACTGCTTTCCCCAACTTTTAAGGAGGGAGAATAAAGTATCAATGGAACTCTCTTGCCCATGATTTTTTTTAAATTAATTAATTTTCTTTTTTCTGAGATAGTCTCACTCTTGCCTGGGCTGGAGTGCAGTGGTGCAATCATACCTCACTGCAGCCACAAACTCCTAGGCTCAGGCAGTCCTCCTGCCTCGCTCTCCTGAGGAGCTGGGACCACAGGCACATTGGCACTAAGCCCAGATTATTTATTTATTTATTTTTGTAGAAACAGGGTCTCGCTTGTTGCCTAGGCTGGTCTGAAACTCTGGGCTTTAAGTGATCCTCCTGCCTCAGCCTCTCGAAATGCTGAGATTACAGGTGTGAGCCACCCCATCTGATCCCTAATTTTCTTAATTACAGCTGTTTCCAAGTTACATTTACTCATTTTAGTCCCAATAAGAATATATACTTTGTGTCAATAACACATGTGCTTGCCCCTAAATCACTACCATTTTAAACTGGCTATACGTAAGTTACATGTATTATGAGAACAACTTCCATAGTATTTTTAAATTGGTATAAAATGGTTTGTATCTAATAACATCACAAACAAACCAGCAACCAATTTTACGACTGAACTTATTTTAGTCTCATATAGTCACAGATGTATTAGTCACAGAGAACAAAGATTTGTACAATAGCATATTCTCTGTAAGTGGGTCATGGTTAGCTGCAGGAGAGCAGTTACCAGTGAAAGGGATATCCTGGTCGCTGCAGTCCCTTCAGAAACCTTGCATGCGACTTTTTGGGAAGGTATCTTCTAGTATACTGGCACAATTAGGAGATTTCCATTTCAGAATTACAGTCATTCTTGAACTTACAACTACAGTAATATGGTTGGGAGTTTAGGCTCTGGAGTCAAACTGCTTGAGTTCAAATCTAGACTTTGCTATTAATTAGTCATATGACCATGATTAAAGTTTGATTAATCATAAATCAAACTCATTAAACTCTTTTTGTCTCAGTTTCCTCCTCTACAAAATATGGATAGCACCTGTCTCATACAAATATTAAATAATTCAATATTTGGAACCCACTAAGTGCAAAAAATATTAGTTATAGCTGCAACTGATATCCTTAGAGATTGCTTATGACATCCTGGGAGAAAATAATAGTATCTGGAAAACTGCTGAAGTAAAAATTATAGAATGGCATGCTACAGAACTAGATATAAGGGAGGGTACCTCCTCTATACATTTGCTTTGTTTGCTTGGATCCTACAATGGAGCTATAGTAATTTGTTAGATTTTAATTTGGAAGTAGAAGGTATATTTTGAGGACAGTAGAAGAAAGACTGCATCCAAACAGTAGTAGGGCCATGAATGACTGGAGAAAAGCAGTGAAATAAGAAAGACCTCCTAGAGGTAATCTACTCATTTGTTTCAGACCATGGTGATAGATTTTATACTTTGTTCATTTGAGTACTAAATATAACAATTTAAAAGAACAGACCTAATGTTAATATTTTCTTTAATAGAAAAATAGAGAAACTATCCCATTATAGTGTCAGGAAAATGTAATTTAGTTGATCCCACAATGAGCTTGCTATTTTTTTTTCCAGTAGAATTTTTCTTTTACAGTATATGATTAGAAATAAATCAAACACCAGAAATTTCACACTTACATAATCTTGTGCAGATAAACTACTTCATTATCTGCATCACCTATAATTAAGGTAACATAGTGAGAATCCAATGCTGTTCTTTTAGTTTGTAGCTGTTCAAAGTTTCTTAAAATAACAGTTACTAATATTTCTGCCATCGTATCACTATATCTTGTAATCTTTAAAAAAGAACAAGTATAAAAAGTGTTAAAAATAATCTTACTTCTCATACTCAACTGAAGCCTATTTATGGGTAGCTTTATTTCTGAAAAGACAATAAAATATCTAAGAAACAGAAAATATTTACCTGATCCACTTTAAGTCCATATTTTGGTAGATACATCAGTTTCTTTTATCTGGGTTCCAAAGTGGGATGTCTATTTAAAATCTAAAAATATTTACACCATTATATTCTTACCACAACACTTGAAATTCTTTTAGTAAAATATTTTTTAGAATAAATAGCTTTAATAATGCTTATCACCCAAAACCTTGGTAAGTTAAAATACTTATGACTATGAGAGGGAAAATAACTTTTAATAGAAATAAAGGCAGGCCTCAGAATTTAGCTAGAATTCAGGAATTAGGAATAAGTGAATGTAAATACTAATTCAAGTTCCCTTGCATCTGTCTCTTCTATTTTTTTAAAGGAAGTCAAACCAGCATTTATGATTGCATTTGACAATGTTATACCTGTGGAAAATTAATCAAACAACAACTTAAAAATAATCCACTTTAAATAAAACATATATTTAAATATATAACAACTAAATTAGTAAAAAAGAAATTTAAAGATCCAGTCAAATAAATGAAAGATTTTTGTAAAGGTTTGTGACATTATTCAATTATGCATATTTATTCAGACAAATAAAATATGCATTTGCTTTATAAAAGGAAGAGAAACTCTGGTCCACATGATGGACATTTAGTTTTACTATACGTCATCCATAGGCCAATCACCAAGAGACATGCACTTTTGTACTCATGCCTGAAAGAAAGGCAACATGATTCAAGGATCATGCTCGAATGAAGCAAGGGAATACTGCTTCATGAAGCTATGGCTCTCTGACCATTTCTGTCTTAGAAATACAGTTCTATGTTTCTGTACCTAAACCAGACTATTTTACTCTACTGCCTAAAACTTCCAATACTTTTCCACTGCATTTAGAATGAAGTGGTAATTTCCTTACCAGGGCCAAATTTCCTTACCTATATGAAATGACTACAGCCTATGTCTCAAATCTAATTTCATCTAACTCTCCTCTTGCTGACTACTCTCCAGTCACTCTTGCTTTCATTTTATTCCCCAAATACATCAAATTCGGTCGGGCCCAGTGGCTCATGCCTGTAATGCCAGCACTTTGGGAGGCCAAGGTGGGCGGATCACCTGAGGTCGGGAGTTCGAGACCAACCTGACCAACATGGAGAAACCCCGTCTCCACTAAAAATACAAAATTAGCCAGGCGTGGTGGTACATGCCTGTAATCCCAGCTACTTGGGAGGCTGAGGCAGCAGAATCGCTTGAACCCTGGAGGCGGAGGTTGCAGTGAGCCAAGATCGTGCCATTGTAGTCCAGCCTGGGCAACAGAGCGAAATTCCATCTTAAAAACAAACAAACAAACAAACAAACAACAAAAAAATCAAGTTCTTTTTCTTCTTTGGATCCTTCCTATTTCATTATACCATCAGAAGGCAGAATTAAAAATTCTTAAATGCTTATGAATGAATTTATCTAAATCACCAAACAGAAGACACTGAGCAGTATAAAATTACAAAATATTACTACCTTGTCTAAGGCACATATATTACATGTATTACTGGTGAAGACATGACCCTATTTCCTTACTCATATATTTACTTGTTCTCGGGAATTTCTCTCAGTTCTTCTTAAGACACAGCTTCTAGTACTCATAATTCCTTAATGTTCATTTCATTTTCCTCTGAAAATGTTTATTGACTTTTAACTTTTTAGTTTATAGCCACCATTAAAATCAATTTCTATGCATTATTTTTTTCAAGATGCTCAATAACATATTGGATTTGACTTTTTGTTTGGATTCTCTCACTTTTCTAGTATATGATTTTTTTTTCTGGGCAATATTTGCTTTTTTCTGTTCAGCTGTAATGAGTATGTGTGAAAACAGGTTAGTTTCACCAATCTGGAAGGGACAGAATGCAATAGATGCCCATATTGACAATACTCTAGAAAG